GTAATATTTGGACCAAATCCCTTGGTAAGATTAAATTTTAGTTCAACCCTCAAAAAACATGTTTTCTGGGTGTTTTAGGAGCCAGGAAACACGAATCTAGCGTTTTTTCGATGTCCGAATGTATGTGCGTGGTACCCTGTACGCTGTACGCTGTACGCTGTACGCTGTACGCTGTACGCAAAAATTTGTTAACACGATAGCTTTCAAACAAGAAAAGTAATTCAAAATCTGACTTCACAGGATGATTGGGAGTGCCGAGGAATAGAAACCATTAGATTTTGAGCGACTTTGGTTGACAGAGTGAAGTGTCATGTCTGGTGTGATGCCCATGTCCATCCATGGGAAAAATTCAATTTTTCTTCCAAAAGTGATATTTAATGTATACTTAAACACTCAAAAATGTGTATTGGGGGGTTTTTGGGTACGAGAAAACCGAATATGACGTTAATTTTGCGATACAATCAACTTTCGAAACACTTTTCATACAAAAAATTCAAAAAATTTGGATTTTTGTATGGAAGCCATGCCTGTATGATATCGTAATGAGCTGAAACTTAGCACAGGTTATTTTTATCATGGAAAAATACCATTTCGAGAGTTTGAAAACATTTCAACGCATATTAGGGGTACCACCCGAACAAAATTTTGGAATTTTCGCTCAAAAACGAAATGTTGTATGGGAAGTATCCCTAATATGCATTGAAATTTCTTCAAACTTTCGGAATGTTAGCCTTTTGTGAAAAAATAACCTTCTGCAAATTTTCACATGATTACGATATCATATAGGCATGGCTGCGATACAAAAATTCTCTTTTTTAGTAGCTTTTGTATGAAAAGTGCTTCGAAAATTATTTGTATCTTAAAACTAATGTCAGGTTTAGTTTTCTCGTGAATTCTTTGAGTAAAATATTTGTAATAAATGCATGGTGTGGATCACGGTGCGGAAAAGTTCATCTTACGGATGTAAGACATTTTATTTGTATCGGAGCCATGCCTATATGATATCGTAATCATGTGAAAATTTGCAGAGGTTATTTTTTTCACAAAAAGTTAACATTCTGGAAGTTTGAAGAAATTTCAATGCATATTAAGGGTACTTCCCATACAAAATTTCGTTTTAGAGCGAAAAATCCAAAATTTTGTTTGGGAGGTGCCCCTAATATTCGTTGAAATATCCTCAAACTCTCAGAATGGTATTTTTGTGTGATAAAAATAACCTGTGCAAAGTTTCAGCTCATTACGATATCATACAGGCATGGCTTCCATACAAAAATCCAAATTTTTTGAATTTTTTGTATGAAAAGTGTGTCAAAAATGAATTGTATCGCAAAACTAACGTCATATTCGGTTTTCTCGTACCCAAAAACCCCCCAATACACATTTTTGAGTGTTTAAGAATACATTAAATATCACTTTTGGAAGGAAAATTGAATTTTACCCATGGATGACCATGGGCATCACACCAGACATGACACTTTACCCTGTCAACCAAAGTCGCTCAAAATCTAATGGTTTCTATTCCTCGGCACCCCTAATCATCCTGTGAAGTCAGATTTTGAATTACTTTTCTTGTTTGAAAGTTATCGTGTTAATAAATTTTTGCGTACAGGGTACAGGGTACGCACATACATTCGGACATCGAAAAAACGCTAGATTCGTGTTCCCTGGCCCCAAAAACACCCGGAAAACACATTTTTTATGGGTGTTAATTTTTCGACCGATTCCAATACTTTACCTTACACACTAGGTGTGTGCGGAAAAGTATAAAATAAAAAGTAAACATTTGGAAATGTTAAGAAAATTCCTCATATCACAATCGCAATGATCTTAGAGTATCAATCGGTTTTCGGTATATAATGCTTGTACAATTTGAAAATTTTTATTCGTCAATTGAATTTTCGTTCGGCAACTTCAAATTTTCTTCGATATTTTGTTGAAAAAAAAAATGAATTTATTTTTCATTTTATTTTTGCTACTTTTCATCAGCACGGAATATTCTGTAAGTTATTTGTATCGTTTGATAAACTGTTTTACTGGTGCATTCCGACACTTTTCATTTTTGCACCTAAGACGTAATTTTTTACATCAAATATTGACAGGAATTTCATGGAACAGGTGACCCTTATTGTATTTTTCCTCCCGAAACAGATTTAGCAACGATATAATGCCGAACAATTGAGGTCAAAAATGACACCGAGCGAGATGAAAATTGAGCTACCTAATTTGATTTTTTTTCATTTTTCTTCATTTTCAACTCGCTTGAAAATATCCAATTATTGAAAACGATGTTTTTTACATAAAAAAATTTCAAGTTGTAGCCAAAGCGTTACTACGTGTTTCAAAGGAATTTCATGTAAAAAATGTGTTCAATAAACATGTATTCATTGTGCAAATAAGCAAAAATTTAAAAAAAAATGAAGCAGACATTTTTTCATCTCGTCTACTTTTTCGTGTGCTCTCATCTTTTTTAATAACAAATTTTTACTTTTCCACATATACATTTTTATATATTACATTTTTATTCATTATTTAGTTGTGTCCCAAATTACGAATGGCACATCAGTTGACGAAATCGAAGCATTTAATTTCATATCGGGAATGATTTACCTGGATACTTCTACGAATATGCAGTCCGTCTGTGGTGCTAGTATAGTATCACCAAACAAATATATCGTTACATGTGCACATTGTGTTGAGCACAGAGAGCTGATTACCTTATACTTCGGTTCCAAAAATATCTGTAATCCATACTACGCGTTGAACATAACGCAGGCTAATATTATTATTCATCCCGGTACTTTATCGAAGTTCTTTTTAAATATTGTTTGCAAATTTATCGTAGCTTTTCATACTTTCAGAATACAGCGGACATCCAAACCATTTGAACGACATAGCAGTGATTGTAGGCATTCCATTACCAACCGATCCAAAGTTTGGTCAAATCGAATTGGTCAAAAGAAATTATGTGCCAAAGAAAATGAATAAAGTCACTCTTTTTGGGTAGTAGTGAAAACGTGGCCATCAAATAATTCAAATGATAGAATTTTTATTTTTCAGATATACCGGTGGACTTAGGCCTGATTACTCTCCTATTTTAACTGATCTTAATTATGTCAGCGCGACAATCGCAGGTTAATATTCAAATAAGTAATTTTTACAATTCAAGTAAGTAATTTTGATTCATTCGCAGATTTTTCTGCCTGTCAAAGGTCGTATTCAACCAAAAATGTGTTTTTAGTTGAAGGTTTGCAGTAAGGTTTTGTGTGAATTTTTATTTTTTGGTTTTTTATTAACCTTTTCTTTAAATAATTTTTAAAAGGTTTTGTGTTAATTTGCGCGGAAAATATAATCAAAGTAATGTTAACTACGGCGATTCAGGAGGAGCAGTTCTAACCAAGGATCGTCACCTTTTGGGATTAATTTCACAAAGACTGGGTATTCAAAATAGGTCAAAGGAAAGGAATCATAAATTTAATAAATTAATTCTTATTTTAGACGGTATTCCCGAAGTTATGACGAATATTATGGGATATTTCGACTTCATTGAACATCCAAGGGTTAGTATTTTGGTTCAAATATAAAATAAAACGTCAGAGAATTGCTTGGTTTTCGGATGATCAGAATATAAGCTCTGAATTGTAATATGCCCATTGAACAAAGACAGTTTGTCAATTTCACAATTTCTTTCTATTCATTTTTTTCAGGCCTTTGTAATGCAATATTACCAGCAACATAACCAGCAAAATAACCAGCAAAATAACCAGCAAGCATATTTTAACTTTTTGTAGACAAAATATGCTATCAGGTATTATTAACCAAAGTTATTAAATATCAATTTTTGATTTATTTAATATTTTTAAAGATCCAACAGATTCAACGAATCATTTTATTACCCTTTTATTTGCAAGCACCTTTAAGGGACGATTTGCATCAACACACTTAATTGTAAAAATTTTGTGTATCAAACTTGATTTTCATTGTGCAAATAAATGGCTGAAAATAAAATTAGAAATATTCATTCTATTTGTCTTACTCAATAGAAATCGCAAGAAATCGCTTCTAAGCTGAATAATTGAGCATTTCATTTCTTGCTTAAGTAGCAAAATCGATGAAAAAAAAAACATCGAAAATGCATACATCCGCAAGGGGGGGGTTATTTTTCCCAACGTTCCTTTCGT